AGGGGAGGAGGAACGGAGGGAGGGAGAGGGGCCGTAGCAGGAGACAGACCAACTGAGTCAGACACAGAGAGTGAGTGGGAAGAGAGGGAATGGAGAGTTCTGTGAGAGTGACACACACACACACACACACAGGTACACGCAGTCAGAGACGGACGTGGGGAAGAGAGGTGCTTGTGTGTGTGTGTGTGTGTGTGTGTGTGTCACCGACTCATAGAGAGAGAGAGAGAGAGAGAGAGAGAGAGAGAGAGAGAGAGAGAGAGAGAGAGAGAGAGAGAGAGAGATGGGATAAAAAAAGAAAAGAAATGAGAGACGGCTGCAGACCAGGCTGGCCCCGTCGCCTATATCGAACCAAGAAATGAAAAGAAACGAAAAACAAAGGAGGAAAGAAAAAGGCTGGCTTCCGCATACGCATGCACATGGAGAGCCAAAGCAGTGGGACAGAACTCGTTCATTAATAGTATTCAACCCTTTATCTCTATTTTTCCAATATTTTCTGTTATGGAAACGAGAATTAGAGAGGAGAGTACTGGAAACAGAGGAGAGGGCCGCACGAAATGTGCGTTAACGATGCGGCGACAGTGGCGGTGGCGGCGCCCGGTCGTCGTTAGCGGCTGTGTAGGATGCAACGTCGGGGTATGTGGACGCTGATTTTTTTCCACGAGGCGCCTACCCTGCCAGGCACCATAGCTGTGTGAGAGCTATGGCGACAGTGCCCTGGCGTAGCCTAGCCCTTGAGTGGGTAGGGAGTGTGATGCACTCTTACGCCATGGCACCCTGGCAGCTCCGTACCTGATCTCTATACCAACCCACATACCTTACAGGACTTTGATACCAGAGGAGCCGCTCTCCCCTCGAGCCTTCTGCTGGAAAGGGGGGCCTCCTTTCTTACCATCCAAAGGCCGCGCTCTGTAGTTCACGACACATCATTCGGATTGCCGCGATCACCAGGGAAGCATGGAAGGCGGAGCGGCGTATCTGGACGCAGTGGGAGAGCGTGCGGTTGCGGTGGCAGCGCTCCGGCATGTCCAAGGGCTTCAGCAAGTCTCGTTTGACCTATCTTTGTCGCAAGGCAGTTTGCTGTTCATTTACTTCACGATTTTGGTCTTCACGTGGTTTGGTTGTTGCTTTGGCCCTCTACGCTCTGTTTATTCACGAGTAATTTGATGGTTTTTGTCTGCTGGTAATGAATCCTTGTGATTGATCGAGATATCGTAGTTACCCGATGCCCTTGTGCACCGGGGAATGTCTGTAGTGGTTTAGGGTGAAACCCATGGGTTTGGGAGGATATGAGAGACCCGGTGAAGAGCAAACTAGAGTTGTATCCATGGGGTGCGTGGTGGGAAACCCGTCTAGGCAACAAAGGCTCTTCACAGTGTTGGGCTAGCGATGATGAGAGGGTAACCCTAAGGTCTATTCTTCCTTTCCAGTTTTTACGCTCTGTTTATTCACGAGTAATTTGATGGTTTTGTTTGCTGGTAATGAATCCTTATGATGTTTAGGGTGAAACCCATGGGTTTGGGATGATATGAGAGACCCGGTGAAGTATTTCTCAAAGGCAGTTCACACAGAATGAGTGAAGAGATTTCCCAGCAGGTACTAGAGGGAGGGGGACCAGATTGTTGGAATACATATCTGGCGCCTGGGGTAGGGTGAAGAGGTCCGCCCCCCTTCTTTTTTTGTTGTCGGTATTCAGCAGCTTGCTCAGTCAATCCCCTGGACCCCCAGGGTAATCAATGCTGGCAAGTCTCTTCTCGAACTCGCCTTTCCCAGAATCTCCCAGGCTGTATTTGTACAAGGGACGCCCGTTTTCCAGCAGGTGCTGCTCCCCACCAATAGATGGAGCTGTCCCCCAGGTGCTAGCGGTGTCTGCTCTAACAGCACTGCTATCATTGGCGGGGACATTTTCTCAAAAAAAAAAAAAGAAAAAAAAAAAAGAAAAAGAGAGACCCGGTGAAGAGCAAACTAGAGTTGTATCCATTGGGTGCGTGGTGGGAAACCCGTCTAGGCAACAAAGGCTCTCCACAGTGTTTTGGCTAGCGATGATGAGACGGCAACCCTAAGGTCTATTTTTCCTTTCCAGTTTTTAGCCACTTAGTTTGTGTCTTTCAGTTTGATATGTGGTAGATTTTTCGAATTTTGGTGGGTTATCTCACCCCTGTCCTTGAGAGCTGCCTACGTAGTAGACTCTGTTTATGTTGTTGGCGATGTTGGGATGTGTCCTGCTTACATCTGTATTACTCACTTACCTACGGTAGAATCTGGGGATTTAATAGGATGAAGGGATGAGATTGTAGCGGGGTTGTAAAGCCCTAAAGCCCTGAAGCCCTGTGGGTCGCAGCGCCATTAGCGGGAGTGGGAGACTCACTAGTGGCGGTGGGAACGTTCTCCCGCGTGCGAAGGGTGAAATAACTGCCAGACATAACCGCGGCGAGAGTTGTAGTGTTGTTTATTCCACTCATATATTCTGTGGGTGCGATTATTCTTCTCTCTCTCCCTTTGAGTGCTTTAAGACTATCTAGGTGTGGCTGTTTTCTCTCGTTCCTCAAGACTCTTTAGGTGTGGCCGTGCCTTGGCTGTTTTCTCTCGATTATTCTTTTGAGATACTATTAATACGCCTAGTTCTAAATTTTCGTTTAGATTAAGTTTAGTATGTACTTGGATTGAATCTTAGAATTGAATTGCATCTAAGAAGTTAGTCTCCCTTTGGAAATAATTGTAGGGCTAAATTGAAAATTTCTGCGAATTGCCTTGTGCATTTTAAATTTGAGATTTGCAGTTCGTAGTTTCTTGCTAATAGTGTTTCGACCTTAGAAACATGTCGGCATTTCTGTGTAGCAAGGATATTATACTGCTATAGATTTGCTTAACAATTTTTTTATTTTTGGAGATTCTTTAAAGGGACACTGGACCCGGTTTCCAGGAGCCTAAGCTGAGTATTGGCCTCAGCAGATTTGTACCGGGTTGACATGTAGGGGTGTGTTCCCGGGCCCCGGTTGTCTCATGGGAATGGGAAGTACTATGTTTCTCAAAAAAAAAAAAA